GACCAGATTTCTCTAAACACTGCCAGATAACTCCGCAGAATAGTTGTACCAGGTTAGACTTCCACTAACAACGTGAGAGAGTTTCCCAACTCCCTCACCAATAGTTGGTATTATCTGACTTTCTGATGTTCACCTCTCTACTGAATGGTAGAGTAGTTTGGACCTATTCTAGTTTACCAGTTCTTTCAAATGTTTGACCCTCCTCCCTTTGGTTCATGAGGACTTCTGGATCCTGCACCTACTTTTCACAGGCCCTGGACAACTAGAAATGCTCTCTCAGGACCATCTATGTAGATTCTTCCCTCACAATCCTGCTCTACTCTTTGTATATCATGGAAGGTCATGCTGACCCCATGACTTCTTTTATAGGCTTTCATTCTCTCAAGAGAGAGGGAAATTCTAGATTCTCCTAAATCTTTTCTGGATATTTCTACTCACCTTATGGGAGTTTTCATGCATGAAGTCAGTACACAGTGCTGAGTTCTTGCCCTTCTCCCTCTCTCTCTTTTCCTTCCATATTCCCTTCCTTCCTTCCTTCCTTCCTTCCTTCCTTCCTTCCTTCCTTCCTTCCTTCCTCTTATCTTACTCTGCCTCCTAGATGTGAAGTGGTTTCAACTTCCTTTTGACTGACAAGTTGTGTCTCCCTTTCTTATTTACCCTGTCCCCTAGGTGACATTCTCCCTGTTCTTTGCTGGGGTGACAATGGAGGGAAGTGATAGAGGGAGAAACTATATTACTACAGGGGGAAATATATTGGAGAATCTTGAAAAAATATTGTCTGCATGATACTACTATTCCATATGAATAACACTTGAACCATCTCAAAGTACTTTTACATATCATTTGACCTTCTCAAAAACCTAGATAAAGAAGTTGTTACCATTTGCAGACAAAAATAGAAACCAAGACTGAGAAAAGTAAAAGAATTTTGTGCAGTAATAAGATAGATAACCCACAGATAACCTATTTTAGAAGAATTCATATGTCTTTTACAACTTTTCCCCTAAGTATATCAGGAAACCATTTTAGAATAGCAAATCTCCTTGTTTTCTCTTCTGTAGATCTGGTCATCTGAGCCAAAAAGAAATTCTGGCACAAAAATGAGGACTGTTTTGTATCTGCTTTGCAGCAAGACCTTATGGTTGCTCTTAAGCATTTGCAAGAAACTCTGAGTTCTTATTCCTTTGTTGGCAATTTTTCTATAATTAAAAAAATATTCTAAAGTATGATCATCGCTGTTATACTTAGAACCAAACAGGCAGCTGTTCATTTTTTCAGTCTATATTGTACTTATTAAATTATATCATACTCTAACAAAGACTGTGGAGTTGATTCATTTTGTGGAATAATCTTTTTAAATGTCTAATTCTCTGAGTATAGACCTATATATACAGTTTATTTTACACATAGAATTGTACTTTAATCATGTAATTATACTTTTTTTTTCCTTGGAAAGCAACATATTTTTCCACCTATTTCTGAAACAATTTGAAGTTAAATACATTTGGAGGACACTTTTCTATGTCCCAAGCAAACATTTTCTGCCAGGTGGTTAACGAAGACCATCTCTGACTAAAGGGAGGCAGTTTGGGTTAGTGAACAAAGCTGGTTATGAAGGCTAGCTTTCTACAACCTACCAGCTGTGTAGCTTTAAGAACATGACCCAGTGCCCAAATCTCAGCTTTCTCAGTAATAATGAGGGAATAATAGTACTTATGCTGAAGGGTTAATGCAAAGGTTCAATGAAGTCATGTATGCACAATGCCTAGCATGTAGTAAGCACTAAAAATGCTACTTTTCTTCTTTCTCTTTTCCTTACAAAAAATAAACAGAATCATCATGAACACCACTGTAGCACTCCAGAAAATTTACACTAAAAATATTGCAGAGAATATTTCATCTTTTAAATGAATGACAGGAACAGGCATTTGTATGCCTTTTTGTCCAAATATGTGGCCTGGTTTTACCCCTTACACATAGTAGAAACCTTGTACACTTACAGAAGACACATCAATAAATGAATATAAACTCTACATGAGTTTAGAGCAAACGTGATTAACACAATAGTGAATGTCATTCAGATGAATGATTTCAATCAAATAAAATTGTGTTTGGGGCACAGTCTCATTCCCTGCTACTCCCTGGGTATTTCTTGAATATACAAAGTACCCTTTGAAGTCAAGGAGAGTGTCTCATATGAATGAGATACCTAGGGAGTCAAGGAATGCGGGGTGGTTGGAGAGGACTAGGCCTATGTTGTGTTTTTTAAGGAGTAAGCAGGTATTTAATGTGAACACTTTTTTCTTATAGAACCAAGAAATGCATTTTTAGCGTCAACCAAAAGAGCAAACGAAACCCATGCAACATGGTCTTTCCTAAAGCAAGCATAGTAAAACGTTTCAGAATTGCTTTGATCCGTAACTTGCATAATGCATCCTCTCTAGAAAATAAATTCTGCTTTCTGTATATTGAGGAGTCCGAAGAAAGAGCATGTCAATTTTATTTACAAAAAAAAAAAAAAAACAGGAATAGACAAATCCAGGATAGTAATGAACCAAAATAAAAGCTTCTTTCAACAACTGTCCATACTTGCCCTGCTCCAGAGAACAGGCAGAACAGGCCCAAGGGGAAAGGTAACAAAGCTGAAGCCAGTTACCAGATTTAAAGCCAGATTTAAAATAGTGCACTGCAACAGTGAAGTCTTCTTCTCCCTCGAACCCAGAAAGCAGTTGACAGAAAAGGGAACCCAAACCCTCTCTCTATATATATAGTAGAACACCATGTATTTAATGAGAGTCCTTAGAACACAGACATTCTACTAGGTCTCTGGAGATCCTATTAAAGAATGATGAGACATAACGCCCGTGTTCAGAACACTACCAGTTTTCCCCATTGGGCTCTATCCCTTCAACTTCCCAACTTGAGGCAAGCAGTGAGCAGCTTACTATAAACCTGCCCTAAGAACATAGATTTCCAACCAAATCCAGATATGGTGATGTATTAGGTTACACTTGCTGAACTATGCTTCCCTCTCGTAGATGAGCCAAGTGTTTCTCAGTGGAGGCCCAGAAGATCACTGAGTTTACAACCAAGTACAGTGGGTAGGAAGAGAATAAAGGCCAAGATCCAGCTTAGGCATTAGGACAGGTTAGCTGAGGTAGCTGAAAGGTACAGGTCAGTAGAATAAAGGAGAGATAATGAACAAGAAGTAAAAGGTTAAAGGAAATTTTCATGCCCCTTTTTTAGAGGAGGAAACTGAGGCACAGGGAGGTGAGAGTCACACAACTAGTAAAATGACTGAGCCAGGATAAGGACTCAGATAGTCGAGCTCATAACCCTCTTGCTTCTCCACTTCACATACTGCCTTTCAATAGAGAAAGCGAGGGCCCTATAATTCTTGGCTTAGCACATGCTTGTGTCTGGGTCTCTTGGTTACCACTAGGAAGCAAGCACCCCAGGACAGCATGGTGGTCCTCTCTAACCTCTCAGCTTCTGAACATCACCCCATCACCACACACAGGAGAAAACAAGCTCTCTTTCAGGCCAGGGTGGCTGTAAGGTATGGTTTATGAAAGGGTCCTATTTGGTCCTTTCTGTTTGACCCACAATTAAGACCCCATAAAGCTTCCTGGTAAAAGAAAAGCTTCCTTAATGAGAAATTCCCCATGAGGGCAAACCTGTCATTCTCTCAAGCCAGATTGTCATGGAAACTTTTATAAAGAGGAGCTCAACACTCAAGTCTTCGGGCAGAGAAAGAACCCACGCAGTTGGTCTTTTGTGAAATTATACAGATTCATTCACTGCCACAGCGAGGCAATGACACAAGTCCCTTTCACTGATGAACAGAATTGGAACATAACTAAGAGAACACAGTCAGAATTTAATTCGTCAAACCTGGTGCCACTCAGCTAGCCCTTGAACTTCAGTCCTCAAACAGCCCAAACAATGTGTTCTAAAAACAATAATCATTGGAACAAAATTATAAAATAATTATAAGTTAAGAAATACATTACTCTTTAAAATAATGCTCAGACATTTTTGTGTAAATAATAACAGGGTCTTCTCCTCTAAGCCAGGAGTCAGCAAACTACAGAGTTTAGGCCAAATTGGGCTTGTTGCCTGTTCTTATACAACCAGAGCTAAAAATGGTTTTTGCATTTTTTAATGGTTAAAAAAAATCAAAAGAGTAAAGTATTGAGACATGTTAAAATTATATCAAATATAACGCAAGACACATAATATTTTATTGGGACACAGACATGCTCATTCATTTCCTTATTGTCTGTGGCTGCTTTCATGTTACAAAGGCACAACGCCCGAAATATTTACTATCTGGCTCTTTACAAAAAATGTTTGCTGACCCCTTCCTAAAATGATAAAGGATAAATATATTGCGCTGACCAATTTTTCACCGTCTAATTGTCGAACTGTAGTTTCTAATTGTTAGAAAACAGTGAAGTATTTTGTGACCTATGCAGTAATTAATTCCTAAAAACCCTATTCTACATAGATACTGCAACCCATTCTTCACTCTAATGATATGTTGTGATCCCTTAATTATTTCAAGGGGCATGTTTTCTCTTACACTAAAATGATGTCTGACTGATACAAACCAGGGCCTTCCTTCAAACGCCTGAATGAAGCAAAGCAGAAAACATCCCCATGCACACGGACATTCATTTGGCAAGAACATTTTGCTGCTAAGCTTAAAACCAAAACAATTAAAGCCAGTAAAGACAGAGCACGTGGGCTTCTGTTCCTGCCTCTTGCTTATTCCAAAATTCTCAAGTCCACAGAAATTTTTTGTGCAGCTTTTCATTAAGCATTTCAAAAGGAAAACAGGGTACCAGCCTTCTTGGAATCTGGAGGGTTTGTTGTTGTTTATGACTATCCTTTGATGGTAGCTGACCCATGAGGGCAAACCTGCCATTTATATTTCTCTTAAAAAGAAGTGAACTGTCACCGGATTCAACTGCCTTGTTGTCATTTTACAAACATACATGTAATGTTCTACCGTCTGCAGATCTGATTCTCATCCACGCTGCTCCCCAAACACATGCCTCTCGAATTGTTCCAAGTCTGGCATTGTCGTTGACTTCAAACGTTGCTCCCTAAGCAGAGGCTTTAGAGGAAAACACATAACAGACTCACCAATGATTATAATTCAGGCATCTCCTAGGACTTCATAAATGTGCTGTAATAAATTATGTTATCTCCCTAAGTTACATGAAAGTTTTATTTGTAATCAAATGATAAACTAAGCAGCGACTTCTTTATGGGAGGTCCTGGCAAGAAAAGTCCCCCAATTAAGGGACTAGGAGTCTGTGATCCAGTCCCAGGTCCTCTGTACCCACTCCATAAACTAGGACATTGGAGAAAACGTTCTAGTCCTGTGTCAATTTCACATTACTCAAATGTGTTTTAAAGATTTGCAGAACTCTATGGAGACATCTATCTTGTGATCTTAATCAGAAAACTATTCATGACTCAGATCCCAAAGACTCCTTTAAACCAGTCTGGGAAACTGCGAAAGCTCATTCAGCATCTTTAAAAACGGTTTACAACATCACTACAATCAAATGCAATATTTTTCCCAAATAAAATAAAAACTTCTGTCTCTGACTGGCATTCCACCACTTCAGAGATATTCTTTACTTTAGTTCTGAAAGAGAATTATTTAAAAATTATCATTTTTATATGCAGTTTTAAAAAGAAATAGGCTAGCAAGAAAATCTATTTAGCCAACTAAAATTTTCATTGGTTCTGCTGAATAACTAATGCCACTGTCTGCCTTTGCTGGTCATGACTAACTCTCTCGGAGTCAAGGAAGGCAAATACGTCTAACACAAAACCAGATTTTTTGTTAAAAAATGAGCCAAAGGGAATTTTTTCTTAAGTGGGGGGAGACAGCACATTTTTAATTAGGCCTAGGCTCATTGCCTGATCTTCGTTAGGCCCCTGCCTAATTCCGATTTGGCCCACTCTATGTATTTGTAGGCCACTGGGCACGAAGGCCAGTGCTTATTTTCATGGCTGCTTCAGTTCATCAAAAAAATCCTTTGAAAGATGAAAGAAACTCCACATTTTTTCACCTGTTGTTCTTTCCTGTGTGCCTGTCACTTCGCTAGCCAAACTTGCTTCAAGCCAAACCAAATGCTTTCCAAGCTTCTACAGCATTCCTTTGAAGATCTTAAGTATTTTCTTATGCTGACCAGTATAGCTTCCACATAAGAAATAAAAAAATAATGTCATTCTTCAGTTATGTTTTTTAAATACCAGCTATGTAAAAACACATTCCAATATGTGCAGGAAAAGCAAAATTCCTCTTCTCCAAGTTTAGAAGTCTTGAGCCAAATACACCTGAGCCCACAGCACATGGCTTGTGCATAACAGAGTTCCCGCAAAGACCAGATGCTGTTCTTATCATTACCACTTCACTGGTTTACCCAGGCTCGCTAAAAAAGTGTTTTGTGAGTCCAGCCCACTGAGTGGGATCATCTTACTACACTGATGAAATATGGTTTGCTCTTTACTTGATTAACAATAAACATCTCTCCTTATTTCTAACAGTACAGCAATTAGGACCCTGACCTGTCACTATGAGCTTCAAGTGTTGGCTTTCGTCAAAAGAAAAGGCATTTGCCAGGAAGGAAAAACACAGCTCACCTTCAAGCTAAACATAGTTCTGTCTTCTAGGAAATCCGCACTTCCACACGGCTCCAGCAGATGTTCTTCAAGCAGCTTACAAGAAATACTAGGAGAAGTACACAGTAGACCCTAGTTTGCAGTGCTGGCTGAGCTGAAAGAGATGCAAATTAACCAAAGCTGATACCAAAAAGCAGAAAAGACAACCCAGTTGATATAAGAGGAAGTGAGTCCTCACTACTCTGCTGATACTCTTCGAGGGAGTCAAAAATAGATAAGACAAACCGCTGGACACAGAGGACATAGCTAAACTTCCTGAAGCTTTTTATAGGAGTAGGTACCCAGGCTTTTAAAAAATGTTAAGTTATGAAGGTTACATTACATTTGTATTCTTAGAAAAGCAACGAGAAAACAAAAAACAAAGTAGAGAAATTCCCTAGATGGATCTTATTAGCATAGCCATAGAAAATGGTAATATTGTTATATTTTAGATAACTTATCATTATTATAAAATGCTTGCCATATCCCAAGCACTGTACTAAGCATTTCATATAAATTATCTTCTTCAGTACTCTCAAGAGCATCACTAGGTAGGTTATATTATCTCAATTTTACAGAATAACCAAGGCTCGGAGGTGTTAAATAGTGTGCCCAAGAAACACTGGCAGCAAATGATGCTAAACTAAGAGTAATTGGTTGAAGTATTTTTCAGCAGTAAATTGATTTCTCTGAAGTTTTCATAGTGACAAAGTCATTTAGATATCTATAATATATGCTTATTGTATGCTTTTATTTCTATAAAGCATATCCAATAAATAATCAATGGATTCCTCACCCCCAGGGGATTTGGAATTTGCCATGGATCGTTTTTCTGATTCTTGCTCACTCCCAATGCTTATCAAATGTGAGTAAAATTATTTCATTCAATGGAAATTATTGAGCACCTACTATGGACTAGGCAGTATATAACTATCCTAAACTTGGTTGCAGGAAGAAATGAAAGAATTTACGAATATCAAGCAGAATATTTCTCCCACAGCTAGAGTTTACTTAGTCCTCACAGGCCTATGGGAACCAATGAGGTTGCATTGGTCAGATAACCCAGATTTCATGGCTTTCCTCTCAGCTCATCAGGACACACCCATCAATCAAGTACTGCTCAGGCAACACTAGTAAAGCCCTGGAGGCATCTCCCCTGTGTGAAGGAACAGGACTTGGCAGATACCATGTGGCTTCTATCTCTTCCTGCCCTTTTACAATCCCTCCATGGACACTGTTAAAGAGAAGCGCGTGCGCACGTGCTCTCTCTCTCTCTCTCTCTCTCTCTCTCTCTCTCACACACACACACAATTGCATTACATTCTGTCAGCGGGGTTCTAAGTAATCTTGCTTGTACCTCCAGAGTTTTAGCAAAACAACTATTTTCACTTATAGCTTTCACCCCAACTCTCTGAAGGACTGAGACACAGTCTAAAGGGAACCCAGGGCTAGAGAACAATTTGAGTCATAGATACCACACCCTTCTCAGAATAGCCCCTCTCCTCTGATGACTAAGGCTTGTTGCTAGAGCAAGCCATCACCCCTCGCTTCCTCATCCCTTATAATAATCTCCGAGGATGATCTTCAGTCCTTTTACAGAAAGACCAGACATGTCCTGCCCACCAGTAATTATAACCTGCCCAGAACATTGCTGAACCTCAGTGGAAGCCACCATATGGCCTTATGGCCATGTTCAAACACCCTCCCTCGGACTTGCGGTCAAGATGGCAGCGTAGGTAAATGTGGTTGCTTCCTCCCACAACCACATGAAAATTACAAGTAAACTACAACACAATCATCATTCAGCTGCCTAAAATCAAGCTGAATGGAAGTCCTACAACTACAAAATTAAAGAAGCAGCCACATGGAGACTGGTAGGAGGGGCGGAGGTGCAGACAGGCTGGTCCTACACCCACGTGTGGTGGATAAAAATCAAGAGGACATCTCACTGGGAAGGTCCTCCCTGAGGAGTAAGGGGTCCCCATCCCACAACAGGTGCCCAGCTCAGGGTTCCAGTGCCAGGAAGAGAAGTCCCCATAACTTCTCGCTAAAAAAACCAGCGAGAACTGAGGCTGAGGGAGACTGCGGCTGCCAGAGCCCCAGGCAGCTCCTCTTATTTTTTTTTTCATCTATGAATTTTTTTTTTTTTTTTTTTTTTTTTTTATTGATTAATTTTTGTTACAAATGATTCTCCTTTTTTCCCCCAGTGGTTCCCCCCTCCCCCTTCCCTCCCCGCCCCTTCCCCCGATTGTTGTCCATGTCCACTGTTCATGCCTATATGCATATAAATTCTGTTGTTCATCCCTCTCTCAGCTCCCCACTCCTTAGGGGATTGTCCTCAAACTGTTATGTTCATTATATTCCAGAAATCAGTGAGATCATATGAAATTTGTCTTTCTCTGCTTGGCTTGTTTCACTCAGGATGATACTTTCCAGGTCCCTCCATGTAGTCTCAAAGGACAAGAGATCTTTCTTTCTTACCGCTGCGTAGTACTCCATTGTGTATATGTACCACAGCTTTTTAATCCATTCGTCTACTGATGGGCACTTGGGCTGTTTCCAGATCTTAGCGATTGTAAATAGTGCTGCTACAAAGATGGGGGTACATATATTCTTTCTGATTGGTGTTTCAGGCTTCTTAGGGTATATTCCTAGAAGTGGGATCACTGGGTCAAATGGGAGTTCAATTTTTAATTTTTTGAGGTGACACCATATTGTTTTCCATAGTGGCTGCACCAGTCTGCATTCCCACCAACAGTGTACTAGAGTCCCCTTTTCTCCACACCCTCGCCAACACTTGTTGTTTGATGATTTGTTGATGGCGGCCATTCTGACCGGTGTGAGGTGATACCTCATTGTTGTTTTGATTTGCATCTCTCTGATGATTAGTGATGATGAACATTTCTTCATATGTCTCTTAGCCATTTGTATGTCCTGTTTGGAGAGGTGTCTATTTAGTTCCTCTGCCCGTTTTTTAATTGGATTCTTTGTCTTCCTTTTGTGGAGTTGTGTGAGCACTCTATATGTATTGGAAATTAACCCCTTATCTGATATATCATTGGCAATTATGCTCTCCCATACAGTGGGTAGCCTTTCCGTTTTGATGATTGTATCTTTCGCTGTGCAGAAGCTTTTGAGTTTGATGTAGTCCCATGTGTTCATTTTCTCCTTTGTTTCTATTGCCTTAGGTGATGTGTCAGTAAAAATTCTGCTGCGTATGACGTCTGAGATTTTGTTGCCCACAGTCTCCTCTAGGATTTTTATGGATTCATGGGTTACATTTAAGTCTTTTATCCATTTTGAGTTTATTTTGGTGTAGGGTGTAAGTTGATGGTCTAGTTTCATTTTTCAGCAAGTAGCTGTCCAATTTTCCCAGCACCATTTATTAAAGAGGCTGTCCTTACTCCACTGTATGCTCTTGCCACCTTTGTCAAATATTAATTGAGCATATTGCCTAGGGTCCATTTCTGGGTTCTCTATTCTGTTCCACTAGTCTATATACCTGTTCTTGTGCCAGTACCAGGCTGTTTTGATTATGGTGGCTTTGTAGTATAACCTGAAATCTGGTATTGTGATCCCTCCAACTTTGTTCTTCCTTTTCAAGATTGCTGTGGCTATTCGAGGCCTTTTTTGGTTCCATATGAACTTTTGAAGTAATTGTTCTAATTCTTTGAAGTATGCCGTTGGTATTTTGATGGGGATTGCGTTGAATCTATAGATTGCTTTGGGTAATATGGACATTTTAATGATGTTAATTCTCCCAATCCATGAACAGGGTATGTTCTTCCACTTTTTTACATCTTGCTCTATTTCATTTTTCAAAGATCTGTAGTTTTCTGCGAATAGGTCCTTTATCTCTTTGGTTAAGTTTATTCCTAGGTATCTTAATTTTTTTGCCGCAATGGTAAATGGGATTGTTTGCCTAGTTTCTCTTTCTGTGAGTTCATCATTGGTGTATAAGAATGCCATCGATTTCTTGACGTTAATTTTGTATCCTGCTACTTTGCCAAATTCATTTATTAAGTCTAGTAAGCTTTTGGTGGAGTCTTTGGGATTTTCTATGTACAGTATCATGTCATCTGCAAATAATGACACTTTCACTTCCTCCTTTCCAATTTGGATCCCTTTTATTTTTTCTTCATGTCTGATTGCTGTGGCTAAGACTTCCAGTACTATGTTAAATAGGAGTGGCGAAAGTGGGCATCCTTGCCTTGTTCCTGTTCTTAAGGGAAATGCTTTTAGTTTTTGCCCATTGAGTATGATGTTGGCTGTAGGTCTTTCATATATGGCCTTTATTATGTCTAGGTATGATCCCTCAATTCCCACACTGGTGAGCGTTTTTATCAGAAATGGATGCTGGATTTTGTCAAAGGCTTTTTCAGCATCTATTGATATGATCATGTGGTTTTTATTCTTCAATTTATTTATGTGGTGTATCACATTTATGGATTTGCGAATATTGTACCAGCCTTGCATCCCTGGGATGAATCCCACCTGGTCATGGTGGATAATTTTTCTGGTGTATTGCTGGATTCGATTTGCTAGTATTTTGTTCAGGATTTTGGCATGAATGTTCATCAGGGATATTGGCCTGTAGTTTTCTTTCTTTGTTGAGTCTTTTTCTGGTTTTGGAATTAGAGTTATGCTGGCTTCATAAAACGAGTTTGGCAGTCTTCCTTCTTCTTGAATTTTTTGAAATAGTTTGAGGAGAATGGGTATTAGTTCTTCTTTGAATGTTCGGTAAAACTCCCCTGTGAAGCCATCTGGGCCTGGGCTTTTGTTTGCTGGAAGAGTCTTGATTACATCTTCAATTTCCTCTGTTGTTATTGGTCTGTTCAAGTTTTCAATCTCTATCTGATCCAATTTTGGGAGGCTATGTGTTTCTAAAAATTTGTCCATTTCGCTTAGATTTTCGAATTTGTTGCCGTATAATTTTTCATAGTAGTTGTTAACGATCTTTTGTATTTCTGTAGGGTCAGTTGTTATCTCTCCTGTTTCATTTCTGATTTTATGTATTTGGGTTCTCTCTCTTTGTTTCTTGGTGAGTCTAGCTAAGGGTCCATCAATCTTGTTTATCTTTTCAAAAAACCAGCTCTTTGTTTTATTGATCCTCTG